TTTCTTTTCTTCCTTCAGTTTCTTGTCTCATCATTTCATCATTATACCCAACGGTCAGAGTGTATGCGCGAACAATCACCGTAACGGGAGCCATGTCCATCTCAAAAGAAAATGGGCTCGGGCGTAACGAAGCTCGATTAGTGATAGTCATCAATGTACCGGGGCGTTCAAATTAGTCGAAGACCACTCCCACGTCATTCAGATCCGTTCTAGACGGGGAACTCTGGCTTTGAGAATTCCGTTTCACGGCTTAGGACTACCAGATCCCATCTTCATAATTCCCGCTAGCTCTGCAGCGGCGCATACCCTTGGAGATGCTGATGCTCTGTTATATTTTATCGACATGGCTGGCACTGGCTGCCTATGCAATCGATTGAGTAAGAACGTGCGGGGCGGATCGGGCCTGTCCTCGTCCGCGGAAGAGATGAGAGATGGACTACCTTAGGTTGCCTCGCATTGATTATTATGACCAGGAACCAGGGCTTTGCAGTGTCTGAGAGGCTATGTTTCCGCATCTCCGTGGTCTCAGCTCATCGATGAAGAGCACCACGGTGCATGTCCGGGCTCCCAGGTGCCTTGGTTGTATGGGCTGTGAGGCATCTCTACCCCTGCTTTTGTGCACTTAATAATGCTAACACCCCCATACCTAACCGCATGGTTGCATTTTAAATTGATCCCCACACCTTTAATTTGATATGTTCTTGTTCTCTTTTGAAGGGGGAAGCGTTGGGGACCGTTGTGAGCCCACGATCTCTGAATATGACTTATCACCTTCGATGCTCTCTTGCTATGATTATCAATCCCAGTCAATAATAGCATAAAAGACGTGAGTTCACTCCGTCCATCTGAAACGTACTATGTAACTGCGCCGGCTTCCCGGGCGCTTGACTAGGATACTCCTTTTGTCCACCTGGAACCTAATAATAATAATTTCCCCGTCTGGATGCCTAAATTATCGTCGTTTCATGCCCGGGATATTGCCCTATGAACATTACTTTCCTCATCCGGTGCTGCTGCTGCCGCCGCCGTCAAAGCAAAGCCCTTTAAGCGAAGGAGAATGGGAGGCTAACGGCTGAACTGAATCCCGAGGGATCTCGCACGTATGACTTGCAAGGCTAAGTGAAACGCCTTTCTTTATGCGTGACGCCGACGCCCGACTGCAGAGTGGAACATGGCATGACTTCCATTTTTGCACGCTATTCATGCGCTTTCATCTTAAAAGATCTCTCTCTTTCCCTTGTCCGTATGTAGAGCATGAATGACGGCAGTAAATCCTCCGTGTTCGAACATGGCGTCAGCTTCTTGTTAAGGCCCGCGTCTCCAACATGCTGCATGCTGCATGCGCATGGAATACGTAGTTAGTTGTACATATTGCTTTCCCCATACGGAGTACTCTGTAGAAATATACAGCCTCGTATATCCAGAGGACAGCGTACTTCTCCTTTCTATCTGCGATAACAAAGCCGGATCAGCATCACAGCCAGCATGTCTCCAGTTTTAGCTTGCCTACCTGGCTTCTCCTTCGGGCATCTCTGTACGTACCATGCGAATATCACATTACGGCTGGTGTTTCGGCCGTTATCGAGATTGTCAGAAAGATAGATCCTTCAGCGGCCATGAAGCGCTTCGGCCGACGTTGAACCTTAGATGGAAACTGATCAGTCAGGTGATGAGCTGGAGTTCCCCGGATAGCCATCGAGAGAAGACCTGTTGCCCGTTGCAAGCGAGCGACAACTATAACTAAAATGGGAGCAAACGGCTGGCTAACTACGCCACGGGGCTTCCAGAATGCGACAAAGGCTGCTTACGAGGCTCGACAGTGAAAGTGCGATCGTGTGTGGCGCATGCTGGGACGCATGATCTCTCTGATACTGCGAACTTAAACGTCCGCTGGTCTTCATCGGCGGGCCATCGCCTGCAACAAAGGACTTTACATGGATACTTAGTGTATTCGATAGGGGACAGCTAAAAGATATGTAAAAGAAATGCTAAATTTTATATATATATATATCTGCCCTATAGACTAAAGACACGGTGTGCCCGTATCCATGCTTTTTCAGTTTCAAACGGGTCAGTCTTAATGGCTGAGATTTGCAGGACACGCAGAATTTCCCCAATATTCACCAGCCTTCCGGAGATCGCCTGTATTTTAGCAGATTCAAACTTTGTTATGCCTAGCAATGAATGGATGGCGAAGTGCTTCCGAAGGAGTACAGCGTTTCTCTGGGTTCAGATTCAAACACCGGTCAAGGAGGTCAATGAACATCATTATCTCCTTGGATTCCGCATCATTGAGTCTGGCCCCTTTCCCAATCAACCGAGACTTCAGGTCTCGCGAGGGCTTCTTAAAGTCAAGGATCTTAGTCACCATGCGGCCTGTAATCTTGTCTTCCTCCAGACTGCGGAAATTGAGAAGATCGTCAAAGTGTAGATGTGCCAGGGTTGCGCGTCGTAGGAACTTGGGCGGAAATTTGCCGCGGCATTCCATGATGGACCGGAGCATCTGGTTGTTATTGCGTCCTGTAAAAAGTATTTTCCCCGAGTAAAGCTCGAATAATGTGCAGCCTATAGACCAGACGTCCAGGCTATGATCATATGGTATTCCAAGTATGATTTCAGGGGCTCGGTAGAACCGACTGACGAGATAAGGGGTGATCTCATTCTCTGAGGCGAGGGAGGCAGAGCCAAGGTCGCATATCTTGAGAATGTTTCTATTCTCATTAACCAGAAGGTTGTCGGGTTTAATATCTGCGTGGAGGATGTTGCATTTGCGAAGAAGGCTTAAGCCGAGGAACATTTGCTGAGCATACGCCCGGATGGCTCGTAGATTGATACCAACATCTCTACCAAACTTCTTGAGGACCTCGCGAAGGTTCATGCTGAGATTCTCAAAAACCATGCACAGGTGGTTCTTGTGGTCAAAATGTCTGTCAAACCTGATAATATGTTTCTTGTCCTCAGGGTCTGCGTTTTGTAGCAACTGCAGTATATTGATTTCCGTCATGCCTGCTTTCCTCATGGTATCATTGTTCCGAACAATCTTCACTGCCACCAGTTTTCCTGTCTTCGAGTCTGTAGCACGTACAACGGAAGAGAACATTCCCTTGCCTAGAATCTGCTGAACGTGATACCGACCGTTGATCAACTCACCCAGCATGACGTTATAGTAACCTTCAGGGTCATCCCAATTATCGAGCATGCTCATGTCTAGTTCCTGGGCCTTTGGAATTCCCGTTGGGCCATTTGCCCGCATAGACGACGGCGGCTCTTCAGCAAACATATCGTCGTCACCTTCGGCAAACATGTCGAAATCATCTTTAACATTTACTGGATTTGGTTTCTCTGCTTCTTGAGCAGCTGTAGTAAGTTGGCCCGTCTTAGTCTCGTCATAAGAGGCAGCAGAAAGATCATCTCCAAAGTGACGCTTGTCATGTCTCTTCTTATCTTCTCTCATATCAGAAGTCGGGTCATAATCAGCGGCACACGGTTCTTCCTTATTGATTCCACTCCTATCACTTAAATCCGTGTTGGCAAGGTCCTCATCCTTTGAAACTTCAAAATTAGCAGGTGACTGCGAGCCGGGTGTGTCAATAGGAGTTGTCATTGGTGATGGGGCGGATGATGCTATACACTCGTTAGTTATGCTACTTGAATATATAGATATTGAACGACAAAAAACTTACCGGCTTCATCTGCATTTGAAGTGGATTTAGCAGAGCCATTTGTCGCGGACTCGGGTGGGTTGACAGGCTTCAAAGCTTGGACAATAAGAGGCTTCGGTGCATCACGATACTTAGCCTTTATAGCTTCACGGCGTTTCCGTCGTTGTTCAATCAGTGTAGCTTCATCAACTGGTTCTATGAACATTTCAGTATCCTCGTCTTTGCCTTGAACAGACGGTCTAAGAGGGAAAAATTAGTAAGGTCACCAATAGACTGGCAGAGTCTGAGTAGTGTGAGTCCACTTACTTATCATCTGTACTAGTTTCAGTGATGGAACGATTCTGCTGTATCTGAGATTCTCCATTTTCAGCCTTTTGCTTCCAAGTTTGAGCGTTAACTGAGGGATTTCCTCGTTCGCTCACTGACTGTTCTGTAGACAACTTAATCTCCATCTGCCCGCGGGCCATGCCCTTGCCATCTTTCTCCGAGGCGTCCTTGTTTGAGGCTTCATCACCCGAGTACTGTTTCTGTTTTCTAGGGTCTCGATAAGGAGAACGGCTTCGCGTTCTCGGACGTTTGTCTGGCCTCCTGTCGTAATCGTCGCTATACTGCAAATGTCGGCTGCCCCGGTCATAGCTATCGTTCCTATCGTGATCGTAGTATGGCCGTTGGTTGTGCCTGCGAGAACTCCCACGGCGATGGTAGCTGTCATCGTATGTGCCATTTGAGTACTTCACACGCCCCCCACGATTGCCCCTATCATAGTCATAGTAGTCATCTCGTCTTCGTTTTTCGCCTCGAGAAGATTTGTAGTATGGCGAGCGGGACCTTGAGCGTTCAGAGCGGTACGGCCGCGAAGAACTAGGGGACTTTGGAGGTAGAGCATCGTTTCTGGGGTTACGGTCAACGTTGGTGTCATTAAAAAGAGAGGTTTGCGACGTAGTTGCCTTCGTATCTGAGTCTGACTCGATGATCTCACCCTCTGATGGGACCGATGGAGACCTTGACCGCTGTGCAGCCATCACCAAAATTTCGACTCGGTACGGTTGGCTTAATCGAAAAATCGAAACGAGCTTATAAGGAAATAAAAGGTGATTCGGTTAGTCAAAGAATCTCCCAAGTTCTGCTTGTGCTTTTCTTGACTGGAATAGCTAAATGAAGAATAGTGTTGGGCGAATGTAGATGGCATTCAACTCAACAAACTTGACTTCCAACCAGCTTACTTTGCAAGAGGCATTTCTTGGGTAAAGAGGAATTTATCTTGACTTGATGTGCGAAAGAGGCTGTATAAACCTGCTGGTGACAGCGTAGAGGGAGAGAAAGAGAGTGATAGCAAAGATGTCGCCGGGTTTGCAGACAGCGAGTGGCTTGTTCCTGGTGTTCGAAGTTGGCGATGTCAAAAGAAGAGTGAGGCAAAAAAAGGTTCTCCCACTAGGCCCAAAAAGGACTAGCTCCACTCCCTCCTTTCGCGCCAAACAGAAAAGATCTTATCAGTTTGAGGCTACGATTCCAACGGCAACGCTGGAATTTTTCCATCAACCGCAACCCACTCCCTCGACACATCCTCTGACAAACGGTCAAGCTCAAGCAGCCATGGGTGGTGCATCTCGTGAAGGTAAGCTGACTGTCTCCGTGCCTATGTTTCTGTTTGAGCCTCTGTTCTAACGATGTCTCACCCCACTCCAGGCGGCAAGGCCAAACCCCTCAAGGCCCCAAAGAAAGAGAAAAGAGAGCTTGATGACGAGGATCTTGCTTTTAGAGAAAAGCAGAAAGCTGGTATGCCTTATATGCAGTATCATGCTCCTTGATCATACGTTTCCGTGCCGCTAACGTACAATGTAGATGCCAAAGCCAAGAAGGAGCTCCAGGAGCTGGCTAAGGGCAAGAAAGGCCCTATGAACACTGGTCAGCAGGGAATCAAGAAGTCTGGAAAGAAATAATCGATCCGATATTGGATGCCTCCTTCCAACTACACGGCTTTCGACTTTCACGGCCAGACTGACGGATCACTACCACCCGCGGGGCTTCACCGCATCACGCTGCATTACGAAAACATGAGTTGACGTCTTTCCTTTTCGTTTCCAATGGCGGGGGTTAGGAAGTGCGACAAAGCTTTTCTACGCTCGACCATCCAGCCCTGAATAATAGATCGCCTGTAAAGCCTTAGCTTTTTATATCATTCCTATCATGCCAGGCGCACCCTGTATGCACTGCACAGATCCGAATGGATACTAGATAAGAAGCTGAATATACACTCTCCCGATTAGCGTTATGGTATTTAATAATGTACATATGCCTAACTCGTAACCCGTTTGACCCATAACGTTGGTTCGTTGGCATAAATGTCACCTTTGTCTCTCTTCTTGTATGCACGAAGCAGTTTCAGGCCCAGCTCATGTTCTTCCTTTTTGATATCTGCTAGCTCGTTGTTCAGGCTTGTCACAGTTTTATTCACTTCGCTTCTGGTGGCCATATCGTATGCTATCGAGCTAGGCTGAATTACTTGCGTCAACTCATGGATCATAGTGTCGATATTGGTCTTTCGACGAGCAAGATCTGCCAGCTTTGATTTGATATCGTCGATTCGAGTGGTGATGTTTGTTTCAGGCTGGGTTTGCGGTCCTGTCCCTGTCTCAGAGACAGTAGTCATTTGTGAAGGGGTAGGTTTGCGTGTGGTATTTTTGGCAGAGATCTGGTGCATTCTAGACCCAATACCCGGTAGTGGTTGATCAAAGCTCTCTGAGATTGGCGGGGGGCTTCCAGGTTCAGTCGTGGCATAAGTTGTGGCACTGAAACGGCTGCGCGGTTCTTGTGATAGTGCTATTCCTTGCAACCTTTCTGTCAAAAAGTCACCGAGTCCATCTTTCCCTTTACTGGAGTCTTGCTCAGGTTGATCAGCAGCACCAACAAACTTGCCAGTCTCCCAAGTTGACGCGGAGGCAGTTTGTAACGAATCCTCAAAGAGGCTTGAGTACGTTGAATTAGGGATACTCAAGGGAGCAGGAGCGGGTTTCACAAGTACTTTGTCCTTTTGAGGGACGGCTGGTCTTGGCTTAGGTGCCATTGGAAGTGCTTTGTTGTCCTTGGATCTGGGGTTTGTTGTTACAGGCTTGTCGTCAATAAGTCTTGTGCTGGAGGGACCTCTATAACTTCTGTCTTTTAGCGGTGGCGGAGGAGGGTTACTATAAGCAGATGTATCACAGTCCGTTCGACACCGGGTTTTGGGAACATTCACGCGCCCGGTTTCTGGCCCTATATCAAATCGAGGTTTCGAAGGACCGCCAGCCCTAGAATATCCTTCGGGTTTCACGATTCCCTGAGGATCTTGGTGGTAACTACCCTTATCGCTTACTGCTAGATCCCTTGAGTAGCCATCCCATTTCGTTAGAGGCCGTCTTCCCGAGGTAGAAGGTTTCATATCTCTGTTGGAATTAGATGCATATGTTGCCCTGGGAGCCGGGTGGTTATCCTTATTATGCATATCGGCAATCCAGTTGCCTTTGGGCTCTTCGATAGGGGAAACATCACGACTTTCCTTAGACGAGGGATAGTGTTCACGGATAGGAGAAACCGGAGGAGACACATCACGATCCCCGTACTCCGAACGATGTGTCGAGGAGTAAGACTGATATGGCTCACCGTGGTTATGTGGATAATGCACCATTATATCTTGAGAATAAACTGAAGAAGGGTTTCGTGCGTGCGCTGACTGGAGCGAAGGTCTCGGGAGAGGCTCAGATACTATCATATTCCTACCATTTCTCGTTTGTTAGACTATATACTATGTGAGAGAACGTTTGAGAAGTTTTTACATACGACTGAGAAGGTTGTGGTCCATGTGGATGAGTATAACCTCCATGGCCAAATCTCGACATCGCGTGTATTTTTTCACTTGCCGAAACCGTGACCTCCTGGCCTTGAGGCTTTGCCCAGTCCCGGGGTTTGTGAATCTTCTTCCACATAATCCAGTCGTTTAAAAAAGAGGGAATCGTGTGTTTTGCAAATGCAGGTAAGTGGTATCGTTTTGAGCACGGCTCGGAGGCTGTTGGTTGAGAGGTTTTGTCGGCCGGTGAATAGGATGATCAAATATGTCCAGAGAAGGCAAATAGATATCACAAGTCAAAGCTATTTAAAGAGAAGCGGACGCTGTCTTTGAAGGGTGTTACTCTCCGTCAAATACGACCGAGTTCGGAAATGAACAAGAGAAATGAATGTACTCCGTTTGTGAAAGACTGCCGAAAGAACAAGCGTTCCAGTCCCAGACCGGGCATGAAGGAATCAAAATGAAGGAATCAAACGGTGAAGAAAAAATATGTCAGACATGAAGCTCAGCCTCCTTCTCTCTCTCTCTCTCTCTGCCTGCAGAGCAACCAACGTCTGGCCGGCGACAAGGCTTTGTCAGATCATGCTCAGCGATCACGACCCTTGATATCTCATGGGCGTTCCGGAGTAAACTCAGCCCAGCAAACCGCGCTAGTCCAAAGCTAAGCGCTGGCTCAGGCTGCTTTAAGCACTGATTTCCAAAAATAAACAAAAATGTGCCTGATCACGTAACCTTCGCTTTAAAAGCGGCGGGAAACTTCACCCCGATATGGCTGACTAAGGAGATTACTCTTGTTTCATCCCAAAGAAGCAGGCGGTGACGACCGGCAGAAAAAGGGCCAGGATATAATTAGCGATGACATAATCCAGCAGCCTTTGATGACATAAGTTGATCTCAAATAAGGCGGAGCTTGCTCTCTACTTGCTTTGGGGTTGATAACAACAATCTATCAGCCTTGCAACGTCTGCAATACTGCGCTGACAGGACAGCTTTGCATTTGAAGATGGCGTCAGGTAAGCGTATCCCATTGCTGACGCTTTGGGTCGCAGTAGCTAACTAGATGGAGTAGAAGATAGCTCTCCGCCTGCCGAAGTGTAAGCCGGGCAACCGATCTACATCGTCGACTTATCCGCTTGCTCAACTGCCCCAATACTGACCCAATATCTCGACTCCAGGGCATCAATCGCCTCCCCAATCAATCTCATTTTATTCTCCCTCTTCATCATTGTAATTTATATGCAGTTCAAACCAAAGAAGCCTGTGACATTACCGACTGCCCCACCACCAACCGTCTTTCGCACCTTCTCACCTACTGATCTCCTACCGTTCAACGGAAAAAACGGAGCTCCTGTTTATCTTGCAGTTCGAGGACGCGTTTTTGATGTTACTCCAGGCAAGAATTTTTACGGACCAGTACGTCTTCCTTTATCAACTTATCTATATTATCATTAACTTTCCCCGTTTACCTAGGGCGGACCATACGAGAACTTCGCCGGTCGAGATGCTACTCGTGGATTAGCCTGCCAGAGCTTTGATGAGGAGATGCTCACCAAAGATCTCAAGGGGCCACTAGATGATTTGAAAGGACTGGGACAAGAGGAACTTGAGAACCTGAGAGGGTGGGAGGAACGGTTTTTGGAGAAGTATCTTGTTGTTGGGAAGCTGGTTGCTGAAGGTGACCCCGCTCTAAAAGAATGATGCATCAAGTCTTTTTAATAAAATGGGTTCTATCAATGGCTGGAGCCCGTCCAGGTCTGCTGCTTATGGATACATGTGACTAGTGATTGAATGGCTATAATAATGACATTTTGACTATGGTTGAACGATAGTAGCAAAATACACTACCTAATTAACATTATTCTAGGGTAGAAGGCCTAGTTAGTAGAAGTACAGGTATACAGGTCATAATGGGGGGGGGGGAACATTCGCTTGGGCATTAAACTAAATTCCGTAAGAGTGTTTGACAGTCATTAACTTATAACACAGGTCCAGGTTTAACAAACTAAACATCCTTCCCAATACATATTTTGGCATCAGCTTCTTCTGAATTTGTGATAAACCGTTTAAAGTTCATCATTAGCCTTAGTGGCCTTTTCTTTAACTTCCTGAGCTGCCTTCTGACCCTCTGCCCGGCCGCTGAGAGCCCCAATTTTCAATTGATCCCAAGCCCACTGGCCAAGGCTCTGGAGTCTGGAGAACATCGAAGCTTCCTGTCTCGTTATTCCATAGCGGAAGTAATCAGCATTGTCCTTTGCCTGCCTTCTTAGCTCTTCAATACTCGAGCCGCGAGTTGGCTTGATCCCATAAGAGGCAAGGAAATTTTCAATATCATCCTTTGACCACGTATTGAAGTTGGTGTCTTTCATGGAACCAGTAACTTGAGCAAGATAATTGGTAATAGAAGTAAAGTCGGGTCCACCGGTCTTTGAGGCTCGGTTGTACGCATCTTGAGCCTGCTTTAAAAGCTCAACACGGGTATACTCGACGCCTTCAAGAGCCTTTTTGTGTTGAGAAGATAAGTATTTTCTATTTTTATTCATCGTCAGTGAGAATTCTGTAATATGCACGAAGTAAAGGGCAGGTAGATTATTACCCAAGGTTCTCTTTGTTCCAGGTATCAAAAGTCCAGGCTGTGTATCCAGAAGCGGCCTTGTGTCCATGAAGCCGTACCTTGGCGAGTAGTTCATCCCTTTTATCACTCTGGGGTACTGGGATACCACGGGCATCCAGGTAGGCCTTAAGGCGAGTATTAGACCACCCATTGATAGCTTGGTTGAAAGCATCCTCCATCTTCAGCTGTGCATCATCCGTGGCTCGAGCGAATTCGTTTCCAGCCTTGGATGTAGCAGCCCCATAAACAGAAGCCATTGATGCAGAAGGCTTCTCCAACAGAGCTTGACGGTGCTTGCGCGCCAAAGCTAACAATTCGTTCCTCTTGGAACCTTGAGGCACCTTGATGCCATGTTCATCAAAAAATTTCTTGAAATCAGACTCTGACCAGGCGTTGAAGAGAGCCTCAGCAAGAGTTTCCTGCGCAGCTGCCATGGATGCTGAAGCAGCAGCAGCAGATTTCTGGCCCTCTATACCAGCACGACGTGAATTACGGCGCACGGCAGCAATAAGCTTGTCACGGGTTGTTGGCTGAGGGACGGGGTAGCCATGGCTATCGAGATACTCCTTTAGCTCAGACTCAGACCAGTGTTCATATAACCAGTTTCCTGGGTAGTTGACCGATTGGCCAAGCTTCTGAGCGATTGCTTCATAGTTGCGGCGGGCTGTTGATAGGAGAGTATCCCTTTTCTTGGGCTGGGGACATGGAATCCCATGGCGGTCTAAAAATGCTTTCAACTGCGAGTCACTCCATCTAAACAGAATTATTAGCCGTGTTCCGTCTTTATTTCGAGGGATTGATGAGAAAGCCTACGAGTCAAATATCCATTCTTTGGCGTCATTGAATGAACCGGAAATCTCTTCAGCTGTCTTTGAAGCTGGTTCGGCAACATACGACTCCCAATTACTCTTCACCAGTTCTTCCAGGTCCTTGCGATCTGCTGGAGAAGGGTATGGAACGTCTATAGATGGGTTAAGTCGATTAACAAGGTTTCCAGGCCGCTGGCTGCAAAAATGCTAGTTATTCACTCACCATGGTCCGAGAGCCAGCGTTCAAGTTCAGTCTCATGCCATTTGTTGTAAACTACGGCCACCGTGACGTGTTAGCCATGATCAATTCTCCAATGTGTGAGTTGTTGGCGGCCATAACAAGCTGGCCGCAGGGAGGGGAAAGAGAGCAACAGTACCAGCTTTGCTGAACCAGTCTCTGGAGCCCACGGCCTCCGACACCGTCAGAGCTATGATTAGCCCAGTCAATAGCCACTTCATGATAGCGTTGGTTCCAAGTATCAACAAATGAGTCCCATGCGAATGAAAAGCAGCCAAGTGGTGCGTTTGTTAAGCAAACGTTGTCTTTGAAATATCGAAGGGGCCGCCTGCATGAGCAACTAAGAAAAATAACGGACAGCGAGCCCGACCGGTGTTGAATATATACTCGCTATTGGCGTCGTTAATCAAGATCCCAGGCAGGGCAGGAGCTTTATTTTGTTCGTCCTGCCTCTTGTTACTATGACGTGTTGTGTGACGTAGGGGAGAAGGCAAGGACTGAGGGGCAACATCTCTGCAGCTCCAGGTTAAGGTCTTCCCTGGCTCTTAGCCTCCAGCATCCTTTACCCATGGAATTGCTGTCGTAGCCTACCATGGCCTCACCGCCAACATCCTCAAAACTTCTTTGCTCTGCATATGCCCTATAGCCATTGTAGTTATGTTGCGTCTGCACTCTAGTGGACCTGATCAAAATGAAATGAGGACCCAAAGCTGGACGAGCAGGCCGGCCGAGGCACAAGTAACGTGACGAGTGACTAATACAGGCTAACCTGATGCAGGCAGTCAGTACGCTTACCTAACCCTTCCCTTAACACATATTGTTATTATTGGCTGGCTGTGGCCCCGCATATAAAGCTTGTCCTAAAGCAGTTAGACCTTCCGTAGTCTGTCAGATCGTCGCGTCATGATTGGCTAGAAGCCTTAGGCCTGTGCACCTTATTGGGCGGACAAGGCGCATCCTCTCAACCTCAAGTTTTTGCGCCTGCGGCTTGGAAGGGGGAGACGAGAATACGGAGCAGCAGACAGGCAGGCAGAGACACAGAACGCAAAGTCTCTGCGCGAATAACCCTCTCAAAGACACGTCTCTCCAGTGGCCGTACCTGCATCCTGAAACCCGACGGTCGTCCCCTGCGCTTCTTTCTCTGTTTCCTTAACCTCTATATAATCACTCATGTGCGCTCGTTGGATCCATACTCCCCTGTCTATCCGCACCTCGCCAGCAGTTCTATAGGAAACGATGGTGAATTTGAGCGAAGAATGCAAGCAACTCGCCTCTCCCGGTGCTGTTAGCTTTACCTTCTCTATGTAAGTCAAAATCCGCCTCTCTTTTGTCGGCTGAAGAACCGCGGCTAACTTATTCGCAACGCTTCTCTACCGATCTAGACTGATCTTCCTCGGCATCTTGCTATCATATCTACCCCAGCACTACCGTATCATCTCACGAGGCACCTCCTTTGGCATATCTCCCTATTTTATACTGCTGGGGACAACATCAGGGACGTTTGGGTTTGCAAACATCCTTGTTCTCCCGAAAAGTGCTCGCGATATCGCCTGCTGCAGTGATATCAGTGGCTTTGCCTGTTTTGCTGGCCTTTTAGGCATTTTGCAGGTTGGGGTCCAGTCACTATGTTTTATCATCTTGTAGGTTCTGCCCCGGAAAGACCATTGTGCAGTTGCTCTCTTTGACTGACTTTTGCATCTTAGCCTTATTCTTTTTGTTGTATATTTCCCCCGAACTCCCCCAACTCCCACTTCGACGTCCGCAACTCCCGAAAAATCACATAATTTCCGGACTGCTCTCACCGTAGGAGCAATATGCCTTGTCCATGCTATCGCTGTGATCATTCTAGGCTTTACGGTCGTCTTTGGCTATCCATCTAGCCGACAGATGTGGGCGAATATCCTTGGTGTCTCGGCCACCATCCTCTCTTCCATCCAATATTTTCCACAGATATACACCACATGGCGTCTACGCCGGGTGGGCAGTCTGAGCATCCAGATGATGTGCATCCAGACCCCCGGTGCCATAGTCTGGGCCATCAGCTTGGCCGAGAGACTGGGCATGGAAGGGTGGAGCACCTGGGGTGTTTACGTTGTAACTTCGATGCTGCAAGGTACCCTTCTGATCATGGGCGTTTATTTCGAATACGTCAATCCCCAGAAGCCAGAGCTCGAGGCCGGAGCCAACAAGCCAACGGAGCCCAACGGTCGTTCCTACGGCACCATGAACGGCACCGATGCCCAGGATGATGCGATCTCCGAAGATACCCCTCTTCTACAAGGTTGACTCCTTCACCTACTTTCTGATGCAAAAGTCATATTTTCCATTTCGTTAGCAAGCCTAGCCTTACACTTTTTTTCCATCCCTTTTCTGAGCGCCTCCTTATGCTTTCAACAACCTATCATATTTGACACTCATTCTGGAAATTTTGTTTCATTACTCTGGTAGCGGTGAGATTTTTTTGTACCATCCCTTTTTGATTTCTTTAACCATCCCCTGTCGCACCCCCACTATTTTCAACGGCCATCTATACCAAAATAACAAAAAGAAAAGAAAAAGTAAAGAAGGACAGGATATGATATATGGTCCCTTTTGTGTGACTGGCTAGACCCTGTCGGAGGAACATATCACATTTTGGCCCTACAGACTTGAAACATCTGCAGGACAGTGACCCTGGCTCAAGTTACCCGAACCCTACCACAACTTGGCCTGGTACGACCAAAACAAGCACTTTACAAGAACCTGGGGGGGGGGGGGCGCAGAAAATTTTTCGAGCCAGGCCCTTCATTTCGAGAGACCAAATTGGTGGAAATTTCGTTCAGCTCTCTGGGGCCAGAATATATTTGATGAGCTAACTGGTATTGACTGGCATAACTCCAACCACAGCTGCTTGGCAACCACAATCAATACTTACGGAGAAGGAAACGTTGGACTGCAGTCAACCCGGATATCTCAGAAGACATGCTCTTTATTTCTTCATCAGTACAGAGAGGCTATGCTATATGAACCAGGGCCCCGTGGATCTCTGTCTCTCTATTCCGTTGGCAATGATACTGTCCTTGCTGTCCTTGACTATACTCAGCTGCAAAATAATCGCCCTGGTGGTAACACATGGAACAAACATCCCCATCAAAGGATACCCGGAATAAAACAACGCATTCTAACTCTTGTACTATACCAAATACCACACTACACGCACGCGCATTGATTCTTTGTTTTTGCTTTCCGGACTTGATTTATTGCGCGGATTTGATATTTGCGGATTAGTTTTTGCTTGATTGTATACCTGAGGCAAAAATGTATGAGAGAAGTTCTGTATTTTGAGCGTTCCTCTGATATCCAATACCCCTTAGACTGAATCTTTTTTCATCTCACACACTCACTTGCTAGACATGTATGTTCACTAGTGCCGAAGTCAAGGTCAAGGAGAGAAAGAATACCAAAGATGGAAAGTCTCGATTGACTGAGCAAGCCTGTTTCTCTTGATATCTATTTTACATCACTGTGTCAAATTCTTTGTCGAAGACATACATACATAGGCTACTTTGCAAAGAACACAGAACAAAGCACACACATAATTACATGCATGAAACATTTCAGTCACAACTAGAGAGCAAAGTCTCACATCCACCTGCATGGCTTTCGGCTCTTTTTCTTTCTTCCTTCCCGCTCCTTTTCCCCATCTCAAGTAAGACGGGTGACACCACAGCTGCAGCATTCTGCATATTCCCGAAAACATCCGGTCCAGCGCATTGTCCTGGACTACAAACAATACTTCAACCCGCCTTTCTTGGGTTATCTTGCTTGCTACTCCTCGCTCTTGAACCGTACCTCTTCCATCTCGTCTATCGTTTCAACCTTTCCATCCTGCGTGATCTGACTGGCTGCCCGGCCGTGCCGATGCTCCATATCTTCATTATGCCGCTGCACGTCTTCCTCTTCCTTGTCCATCCTACGTCTTTCATCCTCGCTTAGTTCTTCCCTTGATGGTCGTTTCGGGTGCTTTGCATCTTTGCCGCTGTGCTGGTATGCATCACTGAGTGCAGGTTTGGCGTGGTTAGAGGGGATACGAGAGTCGAATTCTTGGGCAAACGAGTCTGCTTCTTCCATGTCTGGCTCAGGCTTGTGGTGCTGATAGCGTCGATGGACTAAAATTGATTATATATGTTAGAACTGCTGTCGACATGCTGTACTGCATGAGATTAATTTACCTTGTTCCTTGCCAGTTGATGAATCTCCCTCTCTTAGCCCGCCTTGGGGACTTGAATGGATGGATCTCTCATGATAGCTGCTGTGCCTGGGAAACCGTTCTCCCCGTGTCCCCTGTGCTACCGACAACTTTGCCAGCCCATTTCTTCTCGAGATCGGTAATCGTGATGGTGTGAAGCGCAGAGTTTGTGTGAGCGCCAGTGGCCGGTTCATAGTTCAAAATCAGCCTGATTCTCGAAGGAACAAATACAACAACGTAGAGTCAGTCTGTCGACAACTGTTGAATATGAGTCTTGTTCATGAATGAATGGGATGTTCAAATGTACTCGCCCTTTTATATCCCTAGTTTGCCTTCCATCAACTCTATACAACTTCCTGCTGTACTTCTCCAGCTTATTATGTCATAGCTATCCAACTTCCGGGCATGGCGGTTCCACCAATGAACGAGCAGACCGCTTGATGGTCAGAGACTTCAACGAACTTCCGCGAATATTCCGGGGACGAGGATGTCGCGAGGAGTATATATTCCGGCGTCTTACTTGCATCTCCACTGCCTGACGATCGTGGACGTTTTAAGTAAGATATGCTGTTTTTCTTGGACGTACCCCTGTCCCTTGCATGGAGTCCAGTCTCGTGAAGAGAGGCAAAGTACCTGGTAGTTAGGGATGGAGGAAGTGGAACTGATATCTGCTGCGGACTATGGAATAGATGCAGCGCTGGGATAGTGCTGGGCATGGACGTTGATGCCTAACAAAATTGGTTAGGGAAATAGTTTTTACATAGAAAAGGCTGGAATGTAGAGAAATAGGTGATATAGATGAAGGTGAATACATGTATTCTGCGGAAGAGAATAGCCACATAACAACAAGCGTCTGCCGAATCCAGAAGTAGCCGGATTGATTCAAGACAGAAAGGTCAACATATGAGAGATGGAAGATACATGGGTTGACAATCCACGGGTATAACCAGGGATACAACATATTTATGTGCATAGAATGATATTAGGAAACGAATGTAAAAACGATATGCCTTTTCTCCCCCTGAATGATCTGGAAAGCCGAGTATGAGCAGACAGGTATAGCAAACAAGTCAGATGGTTGTCAAAAGCCGAGTGAACGAGTGACCAAGCAAGGAAGGGAATAACTGAGATGAAGTCGTTGTCATATATATAGTTATATATATATATATGCGATGACAACAGAATATGAGATAAAATGCGACAAGATCAGAGATATCTTTCCAGGCCTAGTATATAACGCCGATGCCGAAAAAGAAACAAGATATTACCTCAAACGCCTGAGCAGGAAGGCTATAAGTAGCGGAAAGTAGAAATGTGACAATATGATGATAGTTGTGCTGGTAAGAGTCGAAAGTCATGTCGAAATAAAAGGGGGGGGAAGAAGACGAAGTAGGTCAGTTACCGTATAGCCATTCACAATAGCACTGGTCGGGGACAACGTCTCTGGACCCAATTAGCTGTGACCGGCGGGCCAATTTTTGGCTAATGTCGATATTCTCGCTGTCTGGACCGGACCTAGAGTCTTTTTCTTCGATGGTTGCTTGGTTCTGTAGCGTTGATAGGCTCCAGTCATCCAAGACTTGCATCTGTTGGCAGTATGGTGGAGACTGACTCGCATCAGAGAATCGGAGTTCTTTGATTTTGATGGCCTGGGGATATGCTTGCGGTAGGTTACTGCCGCCTTCACCGGACATAGTAATAGGTGTCGAAGTCGGGGATGATGATGCAGTGATGGGAGTAGATTCACGAGGGTAAGGTGTTGGCGGGGTTGAAGGCATGCCATCGTCAGAGCCATCGCTACTGGTCTTCATGTCATCTTCTGTCGCGTTCTTATTGGCATATACGAAGAGTTCGATGTAGGTTGTGTTCCACCAGCAAAACCAGGGCTTGTCACCCGGCTGAGACTGAACTTTTCCTGACCTGTTGTTAGAACGTTTCAATTGGGCGGAATCCTTCACTGATCTCCCGAGGACACCATATGGGAATTCGTCATCGGGGACAATGACGAGCTTGTCGAAGGTAGTATAGAAGAAGTATGCAGGCCCGTCATCGGGGGCAGACGCGTCATATGCGGGCTGTAGCTGATAGTCCTTGTTTGCGAGAAACGGTATTTGATCGCCGTATATAAATTTCCCTGTGAGAGAATTTTGGGAGAATTTTATTGTTCTAGTATCCTTGGGCCCGACGGATATGGACCCTTTGAAGTGACCATAGTCCACACAATCCCAAGACAATCGGAGGCTTGTGGTGTTAACACAGCTTTGAGATAGGGAATTGAACGTCCTTCCGGAGATTGAAATGGGCCCAGTAGGGATCGGGGAGAAAACAGGGGCGCCAGATGTGGTTGGGAGAGGTAGCGCATCCAAGGTGCCACTAGTTGTCGGAGTGGGTGGTAGGGTTCTATCACACGGTTAGTTGATCAATGACGTAGATATACAGATATATTGACAAAACATACTGTGTTGGTTGATGATCTGGATCTGGTGTTTTGCCGCTGTCTTTCTGGCCTTGACGGGCTCCTACAATCCCACCGAGGACACCTCCTATTAGAGTTCCTGTGATCAGACCTATAGCGATGAGACCAATGATCCACAGTGGTAGCCCACAGCAAATTTTCTGATTCCTCCTCTTTTCCTTTTCGTTGACAATTTCCTGTGACGTGTTGCCTGATTCGGCAGCCGATGAATCTGCCGCAGGGGCAACAGCACCTGGAACATTTTCACTAAGCAAGGTGCGGGACGACACTTGTGATACTGGTGAGACGGGTGTTTCTAGAGGTTGTGAGGGGGTGTTGGTAGTACCAGGAACACCAGTTGGTGCAGCCGGGGCATAGTAAGACTTCTCCGGAATACCTTCGGGGTAACGAGTGTAAGGAGGAAGCTGTTCTCTATATCCATCTGTGCCTAAGATATCTCCGACCTCGTCTGCAACAGGGGCAGGGGCGGGTTGACTGTATATTTGAGGGTGGCCTGGTAAGGGAAGAGGGACGGTAGTGTTGAGAGGTTCATCCGGAACGTGTTCGGGAACAGTGTTTTGGGAGTATAGGGCGTAGGGATGCTGTGGCGGGGCAGCAGCAACGAAATTTCGCTCGGGCGGCCGTACTGTCGAATTTGAGGAGATAGATGATGTCCTGTTGACGGAGATTCCTTGAGAATACATGGCATAGGGATGGCTAGGTCCTGTCTGACCGGTGTAGGGGCTCAATGCGCGGGGAGGGATGGAGAGCCTGGAGACAGTGCTGACGCTTCGATGGCTGGCAGATGCGGTACTCTGAGCGATAGAAACGGCAGGCGATGATGTCCGAGGTACTGGCCCGGCATCTGGAGGGAAATGCTTCTTGTCCGGAACCTGAGGGGTCACTGTTTGATGGTGGTGATGATGTTGTTGGTATTGTTGTTGTTGTTGCTGAAGCAGCTGGGAGGCGCGTCTCTCCAGCGACTCTGGGATGCCCTGGAAGGAGCTGGTAGGCAGCGGAGGAATCGAGATCTGATCCTGTCCATCTCTAGTCTCTGTCTTGTCCGAGCTCGATGACGAATGACTCGAGAGGCTGTTGACGGACTGTCTTTGACTGTTTGATGATGAATTGTCTATCCGCTCGACCGAGAATTCGTCGCTGAAGACGTCCATCACCGGAGATGCCTGACTGCTGGACTGTTCCGAGCCAGCACCGCCGCCATCGCCAGCACCACCGCCCGACTGCTCTATCGAGGGTGACTTTTGACGGTCAGCATCACCCTCTGATCCCTTGGAGGGAGACGTCGGCCGGTCGCTCATGTTTTAGGCAGGACAATCGACGATACCACTGCCCGCCGGGGGCAGCGATCCCTTTCGGCGCTTCAGCCTTCGAAGGCTCCCTTTCTCTCGCTCTACCCCCCAGAGACAGACACGGCGGCTGTGTGAACCCGACAACCAGCCCCGGGATGAAAACACGATTCCAGCAAGCGAGACACACGCCCGAGACTGGCGACCGGTCGGGGACACTGTGGCTCGAGGGGGACGAAGGTCGACGAACCCCCGTCGTCGTTGTTGATGATGGGCGGCGTCGAAGAAGCGGATGTGGTTGCTGTGTTGTTTGGCGGGTGGAAAGGCGAGGGAGTGGAAGAAGAAGTCGAGGAAGTCGAGGAAGTCGAAGAGAAGTCGAGGAGGCGGACGAGAGTCGGGCAGGGAGGAAAAACGACGATCTGAAACTCACCGCGCGCCAAGACTTGCCTTCCCCCCGGTCGACCTTCCTCCTTAGCTGACACAGAGAGACAGCGAGACAGCGAAGAGAGACAACAAGAGAGACAGCGAGGTAGAGAGAGCGAGATAGAGAGAGATGGAAGAGATGGAGCAGAGGCAGCGATGCTTAATAAAAAGAGAGAGAGAGAGAGACAAGCGTATGCGAAGTAAGTAGAAGAGAGAGGCACGAGAGAGTGCGCTCCTCGGTGGGCTTCAGGGGCGGCCTTATCTCCTCCTTTGGGAGATCGAGGCCTGGTTACCGCTAGCTAGTCGTAGTAGTGTTACGAGCGAGAGCGACAGCTTCCATCGGTCCGTCGACGAGAGAGAGAGGCACAGAGAGAGACAGGCAGATAACCGCAGAGCGATCATCCACGAGAGAGCCCACTTCGAGGCTGCTCGGTCGTCCTGGCACGGCGATGTGGCATCGACCTGAAGATGCCCGTCGAGCATGCAGGACTCCGGCCCTGGCTCCTCCCTCCCTATACTAACTCTCTTTCTCTCTCTCTCCATCTCTTTCACCCAGTTGTATGCAAGCAAGCAAGCAAAGCGGAGCTGGTCTCCAAGAGGGCACCGTCGGCATCCTACCAGCCCATCCAACCAGGCCCTGCGGAAGCCAGAGTGACAAGATGGCTGCTCCCGGAGGCCCAGCATGCAGGCCGACCTGAGTTTTCCTCTCCTCTTTGCTTTTCTTTTCCTTTTTTTTTTTTNNCCTTTCCCTTTTCTGTGTGGCATAAACCTGGTTGCATTTTCACCCCTGTCCATCGCATTAACCGTCAGCCAGCGAGCGTCTTCGCCCTAGCCACAACTAGTGTGTCGTTCCCTTGGGAGGACCGCCTCTTGGGTCTTGTAATTCTTAGGGGCGCTCTTCCTTTTCATCATATCTATAATTTGTTATTGTTATTATTGCTGTTTGTTTCTTTTTGTTTTCTCCATCTTCATCGTCCTGGTTCTGCTTTCTTCCCGATGCGAGAGCCCGTGTCGTGTTCAATTGAGGGTTTCTGGTCAAGGTTGGTGACTTTCGAACGGAGGCCACTCAAGTCTCTTCATTGGAATGGAGCCAGGGTGGACACGGCCTTCCCGTGGACAACCACACCAGTGAGACCTCAAGATGACATCAGAGGAAACGCATGAGGAAACTGTCTCGATGTCGGAAAGTTGGCCTTTGCTGCAGCTGCGGAGGCTTCCCTTGCTCTCCCTCCCGGCCTCTGGCACGCCAACGCTATTTTGTTTTGATTCGTATCTCCCTCCTCTCTCTCTCCCTCTCTCTTTCTGTTCCCTCCCCCCTCCTGCCTGGCTCATAAGGAAGTTTTTGTCGAGGCAAGGGTGTGGGGGTGGTTTTTGAACGGATGTCTCCAAACGGGAGATGATTTGATGCATAAAACCAACACGATTGGCCGAGCAACACCCAGTTCGTGAGCTCATATAATCCATTCTTGAGCCCAGAAATTCTCCATAGCCAGTTCCCACAGCCCTTCTTGGTCCAAAAATTTTGATTGATGGTTCGTAAAAATATTCGAAACTAAAACACACGCATTTCATCTCGGTCTCTTCTCTTCAAATCAAGGATCGCAGATAAATGGACCTTTCCCTTCTGGCCCCATCCTGAGATGCCACCCTCGACTTCTGGCCGCACGGCGATGTACCATCTCCAGACATGTTTATCCAATTCGTCTCGGCTCAGCGTTGGCGCCCATGACTGGCAAACATGATCGATCGCGCCAAGTAGCAAACTGAGAGCAATCTCCTTGGCCTTTTTCACGCTGTCCGGCTGGTTTGGGTCGTGCTCGTGCTCGTGCTTGTGCTCAGAAAACGACCTGAGCAGGTAGTCTCGGGCTGGCTCAGCTCTGAATACAGGGAGGTGCGTGCTCTGGCTTCGACTTCCGCCGTCGTACCCACCATATCTGCTGTGCTGGCGCCCGTCGCTCGATTTACGATCACCCTCCAAGTCCAGACCCCATAGGGCTGGGAGATTGTCGTCGTCATTGTCTTCTTTGGGTGATAGCACGTTCGATTTGTGTGCAGGGGAACCCGTCTCGGCGTGCGGGGATTTGCTGCTACCTCCCTCTGGCACCGTTTCCTTGCTATCAAATCCGATACTTGGTGGTGATACAGATGCAGTTTCTCCCTTTTCGTCGTCCCAGTCGTACCCTACCCGTCGGAGGACGCTGATACTCCTCCCCAGTACCTTGACCGTGGGCTGACCCTGTGCCCATCCAGCGTCCTCAGCGCTGGGAGCGGCCGTATCTATTATACCCAGACTGCGAGCCTTCGTGCGACTGTTTGCGCTCACCACAGCCTGGGCAAGGCTTAGTCTGCTGGACAACGGCTGCTCGGGCATTGTGTACTTCAGTGACATGACTGCAAATGCTAACACTAGTGGGGCTCGATTGGTGACAATCACCGTCTTAGAAATCCTTTCCAAATCTGTACTTACGGGCAGCGTAAGTGACTCTTCCAGCTGCTGAGGAGTCATGTCAAGCCCTGCAACTGTTGCTTTCCGTTTCTTCGAAGGTGATGATACAGATGATGCTGTTACCATGCCATCATTCTTCTCCTCTTCTGTAGCTCGCCTTTTGACAACCCTTTTCGCCGCGTTCCACACTTGTCTTGCTGTTTTGGCTTCTGTAAAAACTGATTGGACCGCCGTCAACTTTGCTCTAGAAATATCTTCTGGACTATTGAATTGTTAACTAGTTAGTCAGGAGTCACTAATTTATGAAACGCGTTATCATTGAACCGCAATTGAGTGTGCGTGTGCGTTCAGTTCAGTTCAGTCAGATTGCATATTTTCATACTTTAGTAGCTTGGCTTCTTGTAAGCCCTTAGCCTTGCTAATAGCAGTAGCGAGGGGTATTCTGGCATCCTGCGTTAGGAAACGAAGCAGTGCCTGTAAATCCTTTGCCGTCGCCATGATCCGATCAACGCGCCAACTTGTCACTAACAATAATTCTTCCTCTACAGCAGAGCCGCTCTAGATATTCTTAAAAGTTTAACACCGTGAGATACCTGATCTTGACCAGGAGATGGACCTGCCGCCCAGCCGATGTCTAAATGCAGGCTCCCTGGGCAATTGATAGCTCTGATCGTCTTCTCTTTCTGATGTGTAGTTCAGCCCGCCGATTCCATCTCGGTAACTATCGAGATGCAAGATTCTCATGACTAAGCGGACGTAATATCAATATTACATATTTCGGGCATTTGCAACCAATCGAAAGGAAGAATATTAAAATTACAGGATAAAACAATACGAGGGCGTCTATCATGTAATTTATCCTGCAACATCAACTTGATCTTCTGCAAGGTAACAACATATCAACTCTTTCATCTTCGGCAGCAGAGCTGTGTATAACATCCCTAGATGATAATTGCGGCCAGGCACCCTATATCTATCGAGTTCTGCAATATGGTTATTCGGGTGACGACATTATACCCATGGATGGGGCTTTCCCTCTATATACCCTTCCTGCATCTCGAAGGAAAGCTTCATCTCACGGCAAGGCCAAACAAACCTCAACCATGAGAGTTCCTACTTTAAGGAATAAGTCAAGTAAAGAAGAAAGAGTATCTTTGATAAAATGACGCCATATTTTATGATCACGATATTTTTCACTTTGTTTACGTACCCAGCAAAACAGTGGCTGACTGCTATTCTACCAACTGGTATCCCAACCTTACCACGCTATCACCTTGTTATCTGCCCTTCGAGTATAGCAATAAATCATGTTGCTACTGGCATTAACCTCATCCTTTCAGCCCTGGGCTTACTAGCCCAGAGTCTCTCTCTGGATGAAGTGAGGCTCGAACTGGGGCCTCAGCTATCCGAGTCTGCCCGGATCTCTGAGAATGGACAAGAGTTTGCAAGATGGAGTGAGTATTACTCCCCGACTCCCGGAGTCGTGGTTAGTGTAGCTAGTGAGGAGGATGTGGCTGTGACGGTGTGTTTTGAAGTTTCTACTCTTTCCCTCGTCTACATGTCAAACCTCCAGAGTTGACAGAGAGTATCAGGTGCAATATTGCATTAAATATGATATCCAGTTTTTTGCCCAGTCGGGAGCTCATGGATTTACTACCACAATGGATGTGCCTCCAGACGGAATACTTATCAACTTGAGACAGCTAAACTCGGTCACTTTCAACGATGAAAGAACAAAAGTCACCCTGGGGGGCGGTGTTCTGATTTCAGAGATAATCGAGGCCGCTGCTTCAAATAGTACCTTGGTTTTAACTGGGAACTGCAACTGTGTTGGTGCTATCGGCGCTATCCTGGGGGGAGGGTACGGTAACCTGATGGGTATATATGGATATGGAGTCGACAACATTCTATCACTCAATGTCGTTTCTGGAGACGGTGTCCTGCAGACGGTTACAGATGGTGATGACCTTTTTTGGGCTGTCCGTGGTGCAGGTCCTAACTTTGGCGTTGTGACGTCTGTGATTATGAAGGCATACCCTGTGCAACCAGCCGGTCTATACGCGTGGCTGGGTACTCTCACCTTCACAGGGGACAAGATTGAAGCGGTCACCAAAGCTATCAGTGAGCTCGAATTGAAACCGGAGATGAATCTTTTGATGTACTTTCTAGATGCCCGCGCCCCTTCCAAAACACCTACCATTGTCGTGACCCCATTCTACCACGGCTCTGAGGCTGAAGGAAGGGCAGCTTTCTCATCTCTACTCAACCTTGGTCCTACGCTTGACACGACGGCCAGCACCCATTATACTCACTGGAACGACGGATCCCAGAGCGCGTGCATCAAAGGCGACCGTAAACCGTCGTACTGTTCTGGCCTCGCCAAAATAGATCCCGGAACATGGAAGCAGGTCTGGGACGAATATGTCACCTGGGTTTCGTCAAATGATGGAAAGTCTCGCAATAGCACCGTCATTCTCGAGGCATATTCTATGGACAGAGTGCAATCATTTCCAGTGAATTCGTCTTCAGTACCTTGGAGAGGCCGGATCAAGTTCAACGCTCTGGTGGTCCCTTGGTACAAGGATGAAGACCTAGATCTTGCTGCTGAATCCTACGGCAGGTTCACTCGTAGCTTGATTTTATCCACGAGCGGCCTCGATCCCCCAGCTACGTATGTGCTTCCTACTAAACTCGACAAGTATTCATGATATAGCTAAATATTGATGCTAACATACCATGGCTAGGTATGTTAACTTTGCATATGGTGACGAGGAACCTTCAGAGGTATACGGCCATCAACTCCCAAGGCTACAGAAGCTCAAGGCAAAGCATGACCCGAATAACATTTTCGATCAGTCGTTTCATATCGAGCCAAAGTATTGAAGAGATGAGGCAGGTGTCACGACAAACAAGGATAATATAGATATTCTTAGTATAAATAATCCAAATCGGAAAAGCCACCCTCGTAAATAAGTTTTGGACGATCGCTAGAATTTCGGTGACACTGTTCCTATTTAATTCTCGCGGTAGGAAATAATCCCAAGTAGCAGCCTTATGACACTGTTAGCTTGTAGAATGAGGTGATTGTAGGTCAATCACTCGTGAGAACCACTACGATTTAAGGGTATAGGTGTCTTTCTCGTGGAAATACCCGAGGACCCGGATATCACTATAACCAGGTAATAACACACTACCAACCGGGTAGACGGTCTTGGAGTAATGAATTCGTATAAACATTGACAATAAGTATGTATATCCTAAATAAATACAGCTATAAATAAGTTCGGGAGACAGTTATTGTTTCTCGATGGGCTTCGCATCTTCGCCCTCGCCTCTGGACTCAGCCATTGATGTTCGCTCGACTTCGGCTTCAACTGTTGGCACACAAGCCTCCTCAAAGCTGGGTCTCTTTAGTTTATCCATTATACCAGCGGCATTTAGAGCTTCTCCAGATGCTCTCAATCCAGAATAAGGTTCTGACTTGGCATTACTCTCACCAGATCCCCTTGTATCAGTTTCTGCCTCAGCTGGAGCTTCAGGCTCCTCCAAGTGTTCGCTGGATACTAGATCGGAAGAAAGGGGTTCCTCCGCGGCTGGCTGTGGCGGTGAACGTGTCACTTCAGAAGGAGCGTGGTCGCCTTCAGCTTCTGCAGCCTGAGAGAAAACCGCGGATTCCACAGCCTTGTCAATGCTGGATGGCGGGGGTGCTTGGCTCTCCAGGTCTTCGGGAGGTGACACAGTTGCTTTCGTGGGGGGAGGTGCAAAGGGAGATTCTGACTGGATATCATTGGGCTCAGAAGGGGATTTACCCTGCTGACTGCCCGGGACGTTCACCTCCCCGTCAGGACCGATTGACCAAACATTCCATGGATCAGCAAGTTTGATTTCTGGAGTTTGTGGCTTCTCAGTCTCTGCTACTGCCGGAGTAGACTTGGCAGCAGGTTTTCTTCTTGGTGGCCCTCTAGCCCTTCCCTTGCGGGCGTCACTGAGTGGGCCTTTCTCTGCTGGCTTCTCTTCCTCTTTCTCCGTTTCCTTCGGTTTGGGAGCTGGTGGACCGAGTTTAAGACGGCTATCTAGATCAGAAAGGAACCCTGCTTTCAAGGCTGCAATCTTCGAGCCAACTGCCCGGGGAGGAAGTGCTGGCTTGGATTTTGTAGCAGGGGGGGCTGCATCATCTGCATTTTCTCCAGATATAGTTTTTGACAACGGTTCACCTGATTCTTGGCCCTTCTTCCTTGTAGGTCTCTGGGGAACCTGTGGCTTTGGCCTATCAGGGATTGATGGCCGCTTCTTTAGTTCAGTTGGACTGGTGGTTTGAGTCTTCGTTGGTGATATATCCCCCTGTTCCTCTGTGGAAGATCTATCGGGTTGCCTTGAAGGTCTGGGTGGTAGTGAAGGCAATGATGGCTTTTCTGGCTTTTCTGATTTCTCGGAGTCTGCTGGTGCTTCCACGGCAGTAGTGAGCTGTTGACTTTCGGGGGCTTCTTCCCAGACATCTTTGCTAGGAAAACGCTGTTTTGGACCCTCCTCTTCCGATCGAGATCCCTCTAGATGAGCAGGAGGCTCCTCCAAGCCAGATTTTTCCAGCATCTTATCTGCTTCTCGCACCCTTTCTTGTTCCTGTTCAGGTGTCTCAAATAGAGCCTCATGTTCTGATCCATCCTTCTTAGGCCGTTTGGGTATATCTGGAGTTGACACAGTTGCATGAAGCTGGGCACTACTGGGAGCATCTTCCCAGATATCCTTACTAGGAAACCTCTGCGTGTGGCTGACTGGTGACTTGAAGCGCTGCTCCGGAGATAGACGTCTTTCGTTGTCATCATCATGGAATAGGGGTTCGTATTCTTTGGTATGCTTTACAGGCACAGATTCACTTTCATCCTGATCCCTAGGGTTACTTTCAAGACCTTTGTTCCCAGAACCTGTAGGGCGTGGTAGTTCCATTTGCTGGGAAGATTCAGTATCTTGTATGTGGTCATGGTGTTTATGTTCAAAGGGAGGGGATACAGCAGGTTGCAATGCCGCAGAGCTTGGGTCAATTTCATCCGAAGCAAGTACGGGGAAATCTTCCTCCTCCGGTAGATGTTCTGTGAGTTTAGCCTCAGGTTCCGGTGCCAATGCGAAGCCATCTGGATGATGCTGATGATGTAAAGGTTCATCAACATGGATCTTTACTTCGTGGGATTCCGGCTTCTTATTATGAGTGTCATCTAGGCTCTCTAAACCTTTCTGTTTTTCAGGTTTAGGGTGAGAAGTTGAATCTTCACGGTGCACTTCATGTTGCAGTGAGGATTCTGCTGGAGGTGATTGGAGACGAGAGGCAAGCTGTTCGGTCATAATATTCCCTAGCTCTTCGTCGGGAGTACCCATCATATTATCGGATGTACCTAGAATCGTTAGACTAAGCCTATGATAAGATAGTTGTGTTTCAAGGAATGCTACCTGTAACTCGGGATGATTTGACAATCTTGTTCAGATCCTCACTGCTCATTGCCCAGTCCGGACGTGGACTGCCAACACCTGATGCATGAAACGCCTGTTCCTCCAGAGCCAGCTCTTTTGGATGTTTTTGGTACCATGATTTTTCGAATGGGTCATCAGGAGTTACTCCGTGCCCATGAAGACCATAGCTGCCTGGGGGTTCTTGTCGACTTTTAGTCCGGCTGTGACTATCTCGATGCTCATTGGGGCTGGATGGCCCAGGTGACGGGGATGGTGCTTGTACATATCCCGCGTTAGGGTACATAGGCACCCTCTGTCCCATATCCGGGGCAGCGGTCCCTTCATCATTGGGATAAGACTTCTGACTTGCTGACGCATTTGACGATTCCAGTTGGATATGAGGAATGCCTGATTTAGAATATAGTGACTGGTTACTGACATCTTCCTCCGATCCTGTTTCATGTCCATGTGAGGCGTCTGTCCGAGTCACGGCCTGAACCTGTGCTGTTGCGCTTGAAGTCGGCAATGATGGCCGAGGTGCATGTAGATGAAGGTCCTGATGAACGTTTCTTGTCTCTGCGGGCTGTTCTACCCCGTATCCGGCTACCTTTTCTCCCTGCGTAACGGGGTTCCTCAGCTCAACAAGCTTTGGAGCGGTTGGAGGAAGAGTAGCGCTATCAGGCCTGATGGAAGGATCAATTGGTGAATCAGCACCTAATAATCTAGAGGAAGGCGGCGCATTCAGTGGGGATGGAGCAAAACTGTCTAGCTTTGGGGGTGAGTTTCTATCTGGACGGCTCGTAGGGCGTGGGGGTATCTTCGGAGGGTTTGCGTTGGCGTTGTTCGGAGAGCGAGAGGGTCGCGGAGGTATGGGAGGAGGGGCTTTGGTTGACATGGCGGTAACAAGTAGATTCTGTAGTATAATAAGCTGATATTGTATGTAGTTGTAAAGTCGATAAAGGGGAGAAATGCTTCTAGGTAGGTCAGTGCCTGTACTATCCGAATGATTTCACACCCAGCCCCCACAGAATGCCTTGAAGGTATAGTTGACACGGAATTATGACTCCCCCGGAGACATGCTTGAGAATAGACGGTGTGTATATATAGAATCTCCCTGTTGATTCTATATGGAACTCACCTCAGAATGAGGTGCTAATAAGGGGTAGCTTGGGTGGTTTGGCCGAAGTGGCAAGAATCTTGATCGATTCAATGAAATATGACAAGGAGAAACTTCAGAGGGAAAAAAGAAAGCACCTCGCCTCACTGCAAATGAGAATGCTTACCGGTGTATATAGCAGTAGAAATGTGTCAAGAAAGAGAGGTTCTTGAGCTGTCTCTAGGAAGGGGGCTGAGAGTCAGCAAGGCCCCATATACTCCGTCTTAAGGCCCTTCTATGGGAAGACGTCACTGTCACTGCCTTTTGGCACTCAGGAGGAGATCATAGCATGTTTGATGCCCGACGTGATAGCTGATTCAGCCCTAGGCTTGCAAGTGGCCGTACTGTCTGGTAGTAACTGATATCAAATTATCCAACGTGTTTCGAGATGTTTTTGCCTTGCTTTTACCAGGTCGTTAAGTTAGTTACGTAGCTCCAGTAATGACGCGGATGGTCACGTGGACGGCATGTGAAGAAGTGAAAGAGCCCCGGCAAAAATGGAGAGAGAGAGAGAGAGAGATGGAGTAGTGACAGTTAGACATAGCATGATAGAGTCTCGTAATAGCCTACAATACATACAGATGGTACAAAAGAGCAAAGCTATAGAAGTTACAGAGAGGCTAAGGAATAGAGCAATAAACCAGGGTTGGAAGTGTCCAGTTCCAGATCAGTTTCTCCTGTCCATGACATCACAAGGAGACAAGCTGATAAGAGAGATCATCCATTAGAGTAAAAGAGAAAGGAGGAAAAGACATAAGCAAGCTGGTATCTATCATTGGGTAGGAGGTAGGGATGGGAATTGGAATAAAACCTGCGGCACAGCGACAAAACCGTTGCCGGTATGGAAGCTCAGCTTAAAAGGAAAGGGAAAAAGAGAACAATAGGCGGGGTCGTGTGCATCGTGGAATACTTAAGGCGCTTGGTTATCCCTCGATCGTTGAGGGAAGGGAAGTAGCTTGGCTGGCCACGGAAGGACGCAAAGGTCCATCGTTTGGTCATTCCCATTTAGACCATCATTTGCGCAACGCCTTGTCCACCAAGGGTCTTACTTCCGGTGAATTCCTGGCCCTTAGCAGCAGCTAGAGCATAGAAGATGGCGGTAAAGAGAAGAAAAACGGCTGCCGCAATCAAGCTCGTAGCTTCCTTTGACACAAGACTGAGCCACTGAATGACGCTCATGGCAAGGTAGATAACTCCACGCATTGTGTTGGACGCGAAACGGCGGATGAAGGCGTCAAACTTGGACGAAGTAGGGCAGATGCGCAGGAGCAGTGGTACCTCGATAAACAGGATGACTGGGGAACAAGCTCTATTTCAACAGTCGCCCAAATTAGCATGCCGTAAGACACGTTGAGTTGTAATTTGAATGGTTCACTTACAGGCATACTATGCTGAATGCAAGTATGATAGATGGAACACGAAAGAGGTTAGAAATTCCAACAGCAAAGCATATTAGCATGGAGAGGATTCCGGTCCTATATATATAGTGTGTTAGCTTCCAGTATAATGGCCGTGCAACCAGCAGGACTCCTCGGCTGGATAGACTGGAGTCGGAGGAAGCAGTAGGAGTGGCTAACCATTGTGCGTAGATGCCTGGAGGACTGCTTGTTAGCATATGCGGAACAGGCCAGGAAGTCCGTCTGATAGACTTACTGAAATTTCTTGATCTAAACTCTTCGGCGAGCGTCATTATGGCTGCTGATGATGTTTTTAACGGGCTAGGGCCTCCTTCGATGCTGGCGGGTTGCTGGTGGGAACAGCGTGATCCTAGAGCTCTGTGCGAGCCCGGAACTGATCAAAAACAATAGAGGGTAAACAACACTGGCAGCCACAGTTAGCACTCCCCCCTTGGATAGAGATGGAGCAGACACTTCTTAGATAGCATCTGAGAGAATGGTAAACCAGGGAGAACTCACAGTGCTGCTCTGGCTTCTGCTCTGACTTGTGCGCTGCAGACAAGAGCTGGAGAAGAAGCTAGTTCACTCTTAAGGCAGCTCACGCGCGATTCAAGCCACAACAACAATAACAAGTGCGTCCTTGGCTTAAGCGGAGTTTCACAAAGCTGATGCCTGCAAGCAGGGCAGGAGGGTGATATCAGTGACTTGTCCAGCAAAGAAACAAA